GCCCCCTCCTCAGATGTATCGGTCCCTTCGATACGCAAGAAACTCATTTATTTTAAACAAACAAGAACAAATTAACTAAGATAAAGAAGTAATCATAATGTCCAATTATTATTATAAGTTATCATATATGATTACTGAATCATCATTATAAACTTTACAACAAATCACAACATAATTATTGAAATAAAATTGCCATTTAGATTAAGTTTAACAAAAGATTAGGTCTTTAGAACTATAAGACGGTATATTCTCTTGTTGTCACCACTTCCCGAACTTTCTTTCCGTGACGGTATTCCGTTTCGCAGACAATCTCCTTCACGGTTTTCACTCTTCCCTGCAACAAAGCTTCTAAATCCACTAAGGTCCTCTTAGTCTGGAATCGGGGCGGCGACCCTGGCACACCCTCACTGGCAGTTTCCGAATCACTGCTCATATTTGCACCTAACAGTCGGAGAAGATTACTAGGTTTTCCCTTTGGTAAAATAGCCGGAGGCATCTCCTTACTTGGAATCTCCTCTTGAACGGGACTGAAAGCTGACCCAGGCGTTAAACTTAACACATCGCCTGCTGGTTCCACCATCTTTGGTGCTGGCACCACCACTTCAGGCACTGGTATTTCTACCTTTGGCAGTGGTACTTCAAGCTTTGGTACTGGTATTTTAACCTTTGGTACTGGTGGTTCAACAGACCGTCTTCCCACACTTCTTCCCCGTCGGTGGAACCTGTCATAGTGCCGTCTCCTTGCATCTAGATTGCTGAATCTTCCTGGACAGTATCGGCACTTGAAATCTTCACGAGAGGCATGTGTTCTGTCTCGATGTCGTCCCAGACTTCTGGAATCTTCAAACCTCGAAGAACACTCTTCGCACCTGTATGAACGTTCTCCTCTCATCTCAACTGTGGCCTAATTAATAAAAAGAAAGAAGCAAAATAATAAACAAAAACATGATCCTGTGGAGTCCCACATTTTTCACCCCCGTGCAAAAATATTTCCCTTGTACTATTCGTCGTAGCGAGCGAGCCTTCTTCGTGCCCTCGGGAACCTCATAGGACGACTATGCTCTATTCCAGTAACTGTCGGTGGTGTTACGACATCCGCTGATTCCTTGTTGATTTCGGGTGGACTTCCACTATCTTGTAGTTCTGCTACTTCTTCTTGGCCACCGCTTAATTCGTCTAGGCTTTGTGGACCCAGTAGTTTGTCAACTGACTCTTGACTACTGCCTGCCGACTCGTTAAGTTCAGTTGGTGTCGTTTCGACCATCTCGATTGGGGTTTGTATATCCGGCCTCTCGTCTCTGGCTTCAGCTTCACTTGCTGCGCCCCAGTATGGCAAAGGCTTTCCCTCATAGACTTTCAGTCGATCGATATGAACCACCTTGCACTTCTTCCTTGGGCCTTCCTGGATCCTGAACGTTACCTCTGATAATTTCTTTACCACCGCATATGGCCCTTGCCAGCGACATTGTAATTTTGGAGACTTGCCTATTGTTTTGGCCGAATTGTACAGCCACACGAACTGCCCTTCTGCTAGTTCCTGTCTGCTCGCTTTCTGGTCATATGTCCTCTTTTGTCGTCGTGCACTAAGCTTCAATACGTGTCGCGTCCGTTCATGAGCTGCACGAATTCTGGTCCAAAGTTGCTCAACGTAGTCGGTCTTCACTTCGATATCCGGCACTCCAGTAGTGGGTAGCATTAGATCAAGAGGGAGGGCTACTTCTCTCCCTAGCACCATCATATTGGGTGTTTCCCCTGTCGATTCTTGTGGTGTGCATCTATATGCGAAGGTTGCACATGGCACATGTTCATCCCAATCTCTTTGATTACGATGTGGATCTAGCATGGTTGCCAACATGTTTACAAGGGTACGGTTGAACCGCTCAACCATGCCATCAGACTTCGGGTTGTAAGGTGTCGTCCGTGTCTTATCTACCCCTACAATTTTGCACAATTCTGCAATAAGGTCCGACTCGATGTTTCTCCCCTGATCAGTGTGTAACTGTCGTGGGACACCATACCTCAGCACGAAGTTCTCCACAAAACAACGGGCAACAGTTTCGGCCCTCTCATTTGGTATTGGGTAGGCCTCCATCCATTTGGAGAAATAATCGCCAACAACGAGTATGTACTTATTGCCTCTATCAGACTCAGGAAAAGGACCTGTAATATCCATCGCCACCCTCTCTATCGGACTGCCAACAGCCTGCTGCTGAAGTGGTGCCCTCTTTTTCTTGGGTGGTGATTTCCTTCGGGCGCAAGCATCACACTGCCGAATCCACGTTCGAATCCAACTGCGCATCTCCGGCCAGAATTAACTTTGAGTTACCCTAGCTGTAGTCTTTGCAACTCCCAGATGTCCGCTGGTTTTTCCCCCATGAAGTTCTTCTAGAGCTGCCGCTCTCATCTCTACTGGAAGGACCAGTTTCCAACTAATATTATGTCCGTCATCTGATTCCCACCTACGATACAAAACTCCATCCCGCACCTCCAATAAGTTCCAAATCTGCCAGTACACTTTGTCCGTTAGGGTAGGCCAAGACTGGTGACCTTGTTAATCGAACCTTTAGTTCCACAAAAGCTTCCTCACAGTCAGTATCCCATGAGAATCTTCTGGCTTTCTCAGTTAGTTTATACAGTGGTGCTGCTGTTGCGGCAAAACCCTTGATGAAACGTCTATAGTACGAGGCTAATCCTAAGAAACTGCGTACTTCTCTGACCGAGGTCGGTGTAGGCCATTCCTTTATGGCTTCAATTTTAGCCGGGTCAGTCATTACTCCGGCATGCGAAACTCGATGCCCTAGATACAAGACTTCCTGTTTGAACAGGGTGCACTTATTTGGTTTCAATTTTAGGCCTGCTCCTCGTAATCGAACAAAGACTTTCCTAAGGCGGTTGATCTCCTCCTCTACAGTTTTCCCATACACGATTATATCATCTAAATACACCAGTAGTATATCCCATTACAATCCAGATAGAACGTGTTCCATAAGTCTCTCAAATGTTGATGGAGCATTACACAGCCCAAACGGCATTACCTTCCAGGAATACAGGCCCCCACGCACTACAAATGCTGATTTATCTTTCGCCTCGGCATCTAATTCAACTTGCCAATATCCTGAGGCGAGGTCCAAGGTGGAAAACCACCTGGCTCCTGAAAGTGCGTCAAGTGAGTCGTTTATCTTAGGTATGGGGTAGGCATCTTTTATGGTAACTGAATTCAAACGCCTGTAATCCACGCAAAAGCGCTTCGTCCCGTCCTTTTTCGTGACCAAGACAACATTTGATGCCCATGGGCTCTCCGAATGCTCAATCAGGCCTCTGTATAACAGGTCCTGCACTTGCTGGTTTATCTGTTCACTGGCCTCCATCGTCTGGCGCCGGGGTTGTTCCTTAATTGGTTGTGCCGTTCCCACATTTATGTGGTGTTTTACTTCGCCAGTTCTCTCTAAGTCGTAATCTCCTCTAGAAAACACATCTTGAAATTCAGCCAAAAGTGATGCAACTTGTTCGTGGTAATTTCCGTCAATGGATGCCACGCTCCGCCGCAACAGATCACTAAGGTGCTCGGGTACTCGTCCGCTGCTAACAGGCGGCTCCTTCCCTCTATGTGTCGATTCGATTTGGTCTTTTAATATTGGTGTTAGCTTGCCAACTGTGGTTCCCTCTCGAAGGACTCGTCGTTCTTTACCGGGGTTAAAAACGCGTAACGGCAGTTGTCCGTCTTCAACCTTCACTACTGTCCTTGCTAGAATTAGGCCATTCTTAGCCAGCTCCTCTTCTTGGTTAGGTTCCACTATTCCTATTACCGGGCAGCTCGTCAACATTCGGGCGAATCCGGTAAGTATGTGTTCATGACCTGGTAAGATCACAGTTGTATCTTCTATAATCACGTTCGAATTGAACTTGGTACCTTCGGGTCCAGTTAAGCTAATTGATTCCCTTCCAATTTTCATCTGGAGTTTCCCCAGGTCCAATAACGTCCACTTGATGTGAGAACATCCATCCCTAGTAATCCAGCCACTTTTAAATTTGCAAAGATTACTCGAACCGATGGAAATGTCTGACCAATCTGTAGTCCTACGTAGGCACATCCTATGGTCTCTAGTGAGGTCCCATCTGCTTGTTGAAGGTTCCTCTTTGCTCTCTGAATTTCTGGACGTTTTTCTTTGGGTAATTGGTAATATAAATTAGAGGACAAGACTGTGTCGGAGGTTCCTGTGTCGACTAGTAGGTTAGCCTTAATTCCATTAACTTTAGTTGGTACATACAATCCTTCTCTTGGGCTGTATTGTGAGTATGTCCTTTTTTTCTCTTGCTGATTTATTGTGTCGTTGAAGGGGTTCTTCCGCTTCCTTGAGTATTTGATGGGTCCTCGGTTCGTTCCAGCCTTCTCCCGACCCCTGGAGTCGGCTGCACGTCGTTTCCCGATTGACGTGTGTAATTTTTCGGGCAGCGTCGAGCAATGTGTCCCTCCAGTCTGCAGTTATAACACACCAGTCTTCTCCTCTGTTGCCACATTTTCCCGTCCTGCCCAGCTGGGGTTTCGGGTACTGACGTCGCCTGTTTTGAACGCAGGTTTCCCTCTATACGTCTCATCCAATCCGCTATTTTTTTCTCAAACGCCACCTGCCTTGAATCTTCCTCCGGTATAAGCGGTCTAACATACTTCATAGGCTGTCTAGGGGGCCTTTCATCCTCCAATTTTAAGAAACTCTCTGTGGATAATGCTGCACGTATGGCTTCGTCTAGAGTGGAAGGTTCCGCTCGAAAGATCCCTTCTCTTATTTCCGGTCTTCCTACTGCCTCCATATAGTGCCCCTTCGCTAAGCGTTCCACTCCGGCCTCGTCAAATTCGGGATATGCCAGGTATGCCAACTCTCGAACAGCTTGTCCTAGCTCTTGAAGGCTCTCCTTTGGTCCTTGCCTCCTTAATCGTAATGACATTGGGTGGTTTTCTGCTTTCCGTCCGGGTCCAAATCGTTGCTCCAAAGCATCAAGTAATTCTGTGTAAGTGCTTTCCCGTCCTTGGCTAGTCCCCAGAACTTTCAGTGCCTGCCCCTTCAGGCTTGCCTTCAAAAATGCTCCTGCCTGCTTGTCAGACGATGCATTCGCTGCTTTACATGCTTCAAAATGTTGGGCGTAGTCCCTCCATGGCGTCTTCCCCTCGTACCTATCTGGAGTAATTATCGGTTTTCGAAAATCGCTGCCAAATCTCTGAGAAAACGCTTCCTCGCCAACTACCCTTGGCTCCCTAGTTAAGGGCCATGGCAATGAGGATGATGTTGGGGGTTCCGTCTGTGTCGTCCCTCTCTTTTCAGTCGACTGGGCCATTGGTGGTCCAACCGAAGGTAGGCTTGAAGCTCCTGCTTCCTCATATTCCACTGTTTTCTTGGGGTAGGTTCGGCTAACAGCGGGAATTGGCCTAGCGTCTGTAGGCCCAGTCCTGCTAATTCCTATAGGCCTAATCCACGGCGTTGAGTTATATCCAACAGGTGGTCCTGTCGAGAATGAATAACGTGCTTCCGTTCCCGTCGTTCCCTTCAGGTGGTCAGTGTTATCAATCGGCCCATCGTCTGGCCTGTTCCTCATCCATGGTGTTGAATTATATTCGGCACTTGTTGCTAATGGATTCATGTCACATTGGCCTGGTAGGCCTTCCATATTTGTCTCTCTCATCTCCATGCCTGAAAATTTTATCTCGCCCTCCAGCCGCTGTATCTCCTGCCTCAAACAGTCCAATGAATTTTCCATTCCTGGCCATGATTCCCTAGAGAAATCCATGCGTGTAGGCAAAATGATAAATATTCCTTGTGAGGGTAATCACTCACTTAAATTCGTCAGAATTCCTCTAATAATCCCTTTTTGAGGGTGCGCTCGCAAAATTCGTCTGTGTCCTTGCGAGGGTAGTTCACTCGCAATCCTAGGCCCGATAATAATGGTTATTCCTTGTGAGGGTAGTCACTCACCAAATCCTTCAAAATCCATCCAGGCCTAAGGCCTAATAATAATCCTTGCGAGGGTAGTTCACTCGCAAATATTCAAT